TCATTTGTGATTTAGTCATCTAAATAGAATACTGGGCTTTGGTAATCTGGGGAAAATTTTTCTATGCAATTGTATGAACAGGTGAATCAGTCTAATTAAGTGGATATTTGAAAATAAAGACATGAAAGGAAGGATGTTACCCCTGAACTGTGAAATGATTATAGTGGGAAAGGAAGAAACATACAGATTATGTTAAGTCACGTATCAGAACTTGGTGACATCAAAACCAAGCACAGGGGAATGATAAGCATAGCTTAGTTAAAAGCCACAAAACGTACTGCTGTGTTCAGTCATACACAAGGATTTTAAGATATTAGGCATGTGCAGAAACCAAAGAAACCAACCAAATCAGAAATAGTAGCCTGTGTCATTAAGGAGAGCAAAGGGCAAATACTTTGTTGTCACCACAACAAAGAATAAAAATTCAATTAATACCTAGCATTTAATTAACTTAATTTTCATAACAATCATATTGTCATTTCCAAAGTAAAAGTTAGAACCCTGTGGCTCAGAAAGACCAAGTAGTTAAGTACACAGACAAGAAGTTTTGTGTCAATTCAAGGAAGGGTTTTAAACAGTGAAAGAAAGCTGGGGACAGTCTTGCTGGCATTAGACACCTTTGAGAAAGCCTGGCATATACCTCTCAGGCCTCTTGCTTCAAACTGAACTGTGACAAAACATGTCCCCCTTTCCTTATTGCTATTCTTTATAGAGTACAGAAGTCTTTACATTCTTAAGCAGGATGGGAAACCAGTTCACTAAAAACTTACCTATTGACTGCTAGTTAGGAGTGAGGCACAGTGCTAAGCATTTTAAACTGTTTATATCATTCAATGTTCATGACTCTGTGATACACTAATACTATTAGTAATAATCCCATGCTATGGATGAGGAAACTGAATACCTGGAGGGTTAATTAATTTGATTCTGGTCATACAAAAATTAAATGTTGAGGTTCAGATTCAGTCACAAGCAGTTTTGACCCCCAAACCCACATTCTTATCTACTCTACTAATAACACTGTAATTGCACAAAATGAAATATTTTTTTTTAAAAAAGAAAAATAATTCTTACTATTAGCATCACCATCATCATTGCCTCACATGTGATGATAATCACAGTTAAAACTCTCCCATAGCAGGGGGATAGCAAGCCTGCCTTTAAGATCTCAACAAAGCTAAGAGCCATGATAAAATGCAGATTTATAAGCACACACACACACACACATACTTTTCATCACATTTCAGGGACTTATTGGACTCTTTGAAGGTCAGATAGAGAACCTCCAATCTTATAGGCCATTCTATGCAAATAGAATTTTATACACATACACACACATATATACGTTTATGCTACTCTTAGTTACTATACTATTAACAAACTATGTTTTGGAAGCTTGGAGTGAAAGAATACCTGCTAAAATAAGTGCTTTCTGTTCTAAAGAGAAAGACAGGATTAGAATCTTGGGCCCTACACTACCTAGTGGGTATCTTGAGTCACTTGTTGCTTCTCTTTAGGCCTGTGTCATGACTTATAAAATGGGGATGATAACAATAGCTAGTTAAGAGGTTTGTCTTAAGAATTTGGTGAGTTGACATTTATTACACACTTAGTAGAGGACCTGTACAGAGTTAGCTCATTATAATAGATGTAGCCTCCTTAAATTTTGACTGATGAGTTTCAATATCATGGAAAAGAGTACCCTTATATTTAACACTCTTTATTTTCACATGCCTATTGTAACACTAACATATTGCTTTGAACACAGTAGGCATTTAGTAAATATTTACCAAATAAGTTAAAAAGGAGAAAAACTCCTAACATTGCTCCACTTCCAATCATGCGTTTAAATTGCTGTTGAATTTTTGGAAGCCTTTCCATGCTTCCATGGTGCTCACGTATTTCCATACATAACTTTTATTAATATTATGTATCATCTATTGGTAGTATAACCTCAGCATTAAATCCTAATATGGTAATACACAAACAATATGTAATCACTCATTTTATTGCCTTCTACTTTCTTCCCTATGACTATATATATGCTCTTTACTAATTATTCATGGAAATCTCCATTTTTATTATCAGAATGTTTTCCCTGTTTTTTTCAGAGAGCCAAGCTTATCTATATTTCTGGTGGGTGCTTGTTTATAAATGCCAGAGAAGCTTATATGCAATGAAGATAGAATATTTTAATATCTTTCAGTGATATATTTTGCTGATCTTCCAGATAAAATATCTTTTCGAATATTCCAAAAGAAGAATAGAAAAAAAAATAAGTCTTTATCTATGAATGTTATCAAAACCACCAATTAAAATGTTCCAATTAATTTTTACATGTGTGTTCTGCCTCATCTGAAAATGCCAATTGCTCGGCACAGTTTGATCTTAGATGAATGTTCCTTCCTTTGGATTTTTGCTTGTTTTTTTGGTAAATCATTTTTAAATGATTTTTAAATCATGTTTAAATCATGTTTTTTTAAATACGTGAAAGAACTAGACATTCTTACTTTAACATTTCTTGTTTAATTATTCAGCATAAAATTAGGACAATGATTAAGCAATTTAGTTCCATTTACACTGTCAAAAGATTAAATTTTTTTTTACTATATTTTAGCATCTCTTATTAATTAAAGGACAAATTTAAATGATAAATTGATATGTTCACACTATTTATCCTGCCATAAAATGACTAGTTATCATTAAATTCCAAATTGCTATATCCTAGGTCACTAGAGAGACTTTAGAAAATTATTTCTTTTAATAAATAATAAATCAATTTTGTTATTTTCATAAGACATTTAAATTTAATATTTTTATTCTTTTATAAATGTTTACATACTGATCTTATGAAACAAGGTTATCCTTACTTAGAAATAAGGATAAATTTCACAGATTAAAGTTTGATTTATAATGAATAGCTCAGTACTTCTCAAACTTTTTTGTTCATACTAATCACTGAGTATCTGATGAAAATGCAGTTTGATTCAGTAGGGCTGGAATGAGACCACATTTTGGGGAGCAAACCCACGATGAACTGTCTTTAGATCATCTAATGATGATTCGACAGAAGCTTATTGAGCCTCAAAACTAACATGTAGAATTATTTTACTGAAAGTAAGAAAAAGTAATTGTTCTAGGAAGAGCATGAATGCTGGAGATAATCAGATATAACTTTTATCTCATTCCCTCATACTTCACCTGTTAATCTTGGGCAGATTCTTAGTTTCAGTCTGCCTTCTTAGTACTTCAAATGGTAGTAGACCTCAGAGTACCCATTGTTTATATGAATTGGTCCTGTCTAAAAGTTAGGCAAAAAATTATATGAAGTATAAACATTGTCATTGGATTGGTACTTGGGAAATTTGTTTAATGGCCTTTAGATATAAGCAGATATATTAATTTTTGTCATATAAAATGTTTTATTAGCCAATATATAAAATTTCTGTGTTGCTGAAAATTCTTAGTTATTTTTAAATGTAAGAGGCAAATGATGCACTCAGATGCTTTCCACATTGACCTCTTCTAATTGAATCAGATAAAGAATTATATTTGGCCTGGCATTTGCTACATACTAGAATAGTTGTATTACTGTGTCAATAGTGGTATAATTCAATTATAAATGTAAATTGGTATTTGGTAAACTAGACATTTCAGAAATTAAATAAGGTATCAAATGTCTATTTTGGAGGAATATTCTAACACAATGGCTTTCTAAAAAAATCTGATTACATGCCATGGACTATTGTAAACCCAGATGTGGCCTCTTCTACTCACTGATAACAGAATTTGGAATTCATTATTAATAATAAATTCAACATCAGAAGCTATTCTCATACAAATTGTAGTTGGCTGATATTCTCTGTGTTTCAAATTAGGTAATTAATTATATTAGTTACATTTCATGTTATACATATATTAGAAACAATGTCATTTTGCAATACAACAAATGCTATTTTGTTATTGTTAAAGAATGTGACATGCATGCAAATTGCCTTGCCTTTCATTCCTTTAAAACTATAGTCAAAAATTAATTCATTGACACTTATTTTGGTGTTGTCCTGGCTATCCACTATTGCTTTTAGAACTGTGTTTTTAGAAGGTTGATAGCTAAATTTGTAAGACACAAAATATGGAAACCCCAAATTGGGCAAATGTTTTTATTTTTCTATTTTTTGTCTCCCCTTATAAAACATTTGATGATGAATTTTTAAAAAAAAACAAATCTTGGGGTTTTCCCTGATTACAATGACATTCTGATGTTTGCTTTGCTTTTGAGTTTCAGAGAAAATTTAATACGGATCATTTTATGAAAGATTGGAATGTCTTAGATAGGTGGTATCTTTTCATTGTGCACTCTATGTTTTAGAAATGTTTAATTCAGTAAGACCCATGAAGGCTTCATCTCCCTACTCCTCTCTTTTCTCCTTTGAGGGGATATGACACATAGTAGCCATGGTCCTTTGGCGATGGAACCAAATAGATAGTTCCTTCAACCCACTGGCAAATACTGTCATGGGTTAGTGCTCTATCGTTTGGTCACTGAAAATGCTAAATAAAACCACATTTATGAAGACACAGACTAAACAATGTAGAAATTGGCTTGCATTTCTCCAAAGCCAAGTTCAATTTTCACCAGCGAGCAGACTTTTCAAAATACACAGTAAAGAGTTACGTATCTTATTCATCAAGCAATTAGGCATTTATAGCACCAAGCAGTCATTTTATTTTTGATGTGCATCAAAATCCACAAGATAAGTCAAGTCATAGTGCAATAATTATCAATATAGTGCCAAAATAAAAGCAAATGCCATTTATTCTAATACGTAGATTCAGAGATGGCTCACAATTAAGAGCAGAATAATAGAAAAGGAATAAATTCATATCATCACATATATCCATGATTTTTAGTGATGTTTTAAAATAAAAAGAAAATAAGTACTTTTCATTTATCAATATTGAAGAGCCTTACTTCCACTAATTATATATTTTATTTTTAGAGTGTTTCTCTTGGAGGATGGTAGCCTCAAGATATATAACGTTACCAGGTCAGATGCTGGATCATATACATGCATAGCCACAAATCAGTTTGGCATTGCAAAGAACACCGGCAGCCTCGTAGTAAAAGGTATTTTATTGTCTTCATTTGTGCTTGGTGAACATTAGAAATATGCATGCATATCTTGATTTCTGTTACAGCATCAAACCTGTATCATATTGTGTATGTGAAATATTTGATTTTATGATTTATATAAGAGATAGATGCATCACTGTACTCACTAATAGCATGCACACTTTGCCAGTAGGATACCATGATAGATGTGAATACTTTGGCAGTTGAAAATGCTGTCAGTGTATAATTAGACAGAGTTAAAACTTACACTTGAAATATTTGAGTTTTCACATGTACCTTGGTGTTCAGGCCATGGACCTTTTGATAAAGTCCCTGGATAATATTTTTCTTGATTAAATGTAATTCAGGATTTCTCACTTGAATGAAATATTCACATGTATATAAGTCTACCAGATATATAACTGGTTCATTTATTCATACAATTCTAGGTATAAAACTAGTGAAATGTGGAGTCTCTTGCCTATATTGTAATAAGCAGTTCTTTTCAAAGAGAAAGCAATTAAAATCATAGTATTTACATGAATCATTATAATATTCCCATCACAGTGAACAAATAAACTCATACAATTTGGGATGCTTGAACTGTATACTCAATTTTTAAGATTTTTAAGCTAATATCAATCCAAATGTTTCTACATTTGTCACCAAGGGACATAATTAGTATTAGAGATGCCTATTCTTCATCTTTGCTACTTTACATTATAGAATCTCAGCTCATAAACTAGCATTTTTGCTGCAAGCCATGTCACTTCTATCATTTCGTTGCCTCTTGGATGATAGAAATGACTGTTTTGATAAAGCAGGTCAAGTGGCTAATTAAGTCCAAATGATTAAATTCAGCAGTTGGTACCTTCTCATCTTTTCTATTAAAAAATAAATATATTCGATAAAAATGTCTCACAGAAAATAGACACCCACCTTTAAGCCTGGGAGATATTTCTGCCAACTTGTCTAGAGCCTACTACATTATGTCGACAATTGTCTGAAGCACTCCGGGGAAATGTGACTGATAAAACTTGATATGTCAAAATCCAACCCGTGTGGCACATTTTGAAAAACTTCACTTCCTTAAGATTGTATTGTCATCAATTTTTGAGACAGAGATGGACTTAGTGTTTCAAGATATATGGTATGGCTATTTTTAAGAACACAGTATTTCTCCAGCAAATTTTTGGCAACACTCGTATACTGGAAAGTGTGAATGCTTTGTATTTCAAGAAATATCGTGTTCATTAAGGGGAAAAGGAGATTGATGACACCATTTTACATTAAGGAATTGTAGGTCGTATGCATTAGTTTTATTACAGCGGAAGATTAAAATATGGTGAAAGATAAAAGGGCATCGCAGTTAAGACTTTCAGGTATGGAAAAATCCAAGCAGAATAAAATAGGACATAGAAGACATCAGCAGTAGATATGTAATTTTGTTGTTATTGCTGTTTAAGGCTACTATAGAGTACTTGTGACTTGTGGGGAACAAGTATTTTGCTGTTAAAATACAATGATAGGGATTCCCACTCCAGAGACTAAGGAAAAAAAAAAGTTAATGGCCAGATTGAACTGAATGAATAGTCTCTTTTCCTCAAATGTTTCTTAAACCTGTGGCATCATGATACTCACTGTCCACCGATAATTGATGGAAGAAAAATAAAAAGTGAAGACTTACAAAAATATTAACTGAGAAAATCGGAAGCAACTAGATTGTGTTCTGGACACAACAACTGTATATCTCAGATGGTTCTATAGCCATGTTTTCTGCTAATTAGCTTCCTGCCTCTTATGATGGAAATAAGGTGATCTACATTTTTAGATATTCCATAAAACATATCACAATCCCCAGGTACTCTGTTTTTTTTTTTTTTTTTCTACAAGGAAAACACTAGTTTTAATGGATTTCTCAGTTTAAGAAAAAATAACATTATTGACATTTTTTTCCTATTTCTAGTGTTGTTGTTTGTTTTGTTTTGTTTTGTTTTGTTTTTTTGCTGAGTGGAAGAGAGTGAAACAAAATTATTGAAACAAAATTATCCCACCCTGCATTCCTGGTTGACTTCGTCAGTCCCGTTCTTTCTTCTTCTCTATACTTTTCATCTTTTTACAAACTATATAACTTATTTATTATATCAGTGGTTCTTGTCTTTCTTTCCCTTCTGGAACAGAAGCATAAAGAGAGCAGGGATCTTTGTTCATTTTAATCGATGATGAGCCACGAGGCCTAGAACATGGTCAGGAACTGTATGTGTCCAATAAATATTTGTCAGTTCAATGAAAGGCTATTATCTTATACATTTTAGTTCACGGGGACAATTTTCATCCTGACTTCCTTGCTCTAAAATCTGACAGTTGTCAGTTTTTCATGGTTTAAACTTCTTAGGACATTTTGTGAAAAAGAGCATTAAAGTTAAAAAAAAAAAAAGACACAACTTTTAAATGCTTTCACTTTCCCAATTTTAGGGTTTGTACTTTTCTATTTCTAATAGACATTGACATCCTCACTTGGCTTAGCAGGGCAAGCATGACCCTCCGTGAAAATGCAAACAACTTTAGGGAAAGAACTCACTGTTCTGGTATTTATAATACAGTACCAGAGGATAATTTACACATTCAAAAGGTTAATATAACTGATGTCAATATGCGTGATTATCAAGTTATTTTCAAGTATTTATATCTAATAATGGAAAGGAAATTTTGTTTGTTATTTTTTAACATTCATGAAATATCCACATCCCCATTTAAGGGGATTTTGAGGTCTTTTGCTTCTTTGCCATTGACAAGAACTACACTGTGCATATAAATGTAGACATCATTATGCAAATAAAGAAATAAACAAAACAATAAATGTGTATATAATATAAATAGAAACTTTGCTTTATTAATGATCTGTAACATACAGACTTTTTTAAATCATGTGACTGCTGTACAAATATAGTTCTAAGTCTCTTGTTAGCATGCCTTCTTAACTAGACTGCTATCTCTAATTCCCTTTATTGTAGTAATGTTGAAAGTGTCACTGCCAAGGAATTGTTATTTTACAACCTACAAATTTGAAGCTTAGTCTGGGAAAGAATTAATGGTGTGCATTGATTCAACCATTTTCTTGACTAGTAAGTGTATAGTCATCTGCTTGTTTGTTAAGACGGCTTAATATTTGTGTGTGAGGGGGTGACATGTAATGACAATGACATCGATTGTCATTATGGAGTCAAGTATAAATTTTGTTTCTCAAACCCAAACCAGCATATACTAACCTTAACTGTAATAGAGTGGCAAGGAGCAAATGAGGAATTTCAGTAAAGCTGATAAAACAATCGTCTCTCTTTGAATGTACTTATCAGTCTCAGTCATGCAAGAAATGTTGTTGTTAGATAACATGTAAAAAGATAATAGTTACAGGAGTCAGATATTTTCCCAGCTTAGTTTTTAGCTAATATGGCTTATCTGTGTTAAGAGGATTCTGAAGTTATCTGCACTGTATATTGGAAATTTCTATTTCCCTAATACAGCAGAGCAAGGCAATTTTCCATTCCAACATTGTGAGCACAATTAGCTGCAGCTTTGCCAGAGCCTCTGAAGATGCCCAGTATAATTTGAGGACATGTTCCATAGGCACAAAGAGGGAATCAAAAGGAAAGAGAGTTTTAAGTGTTTTCATTTTCGAGGACAGAGATTAAAATTACAATGTGTACATACACTAAGAGGTATATGAAAATCACATAAAAGGGGGAATTATTTGATCTGGCATTTGGAAAATTATTAAAAAGCAGAGTAACAGCAGGCTATAAAAATGATCTTGTTTGCAGGCAACATTTGTTTTTGTTTCCCCACTGGAGAAGTTTTGGATGTTCAATTATAGGCCTCATTGCTTCAGCATTATTTTCAACTGAAATGTCGGAACTTGGAAAAGCATATCTAATGTGCAAATTAAGTTTATTGCTGCTCATTTAGTTGTTTATTCTTTGTGATAGAAGTCTTTATTATACCAGCAATACAGAGTGGCCTATCCATTTTCTCCAGCAGAATAAGAGTATTCTCTAATATGGGTCTACATTTACTAAGAGCAATACCCAAGATAGGTAGATAATTGTAGGCTTTGTGGCTTTAAAAGGCAGTTTCAAGGATGTGAGATATCGAGCCCAACTTTATCGGGAAGCCCAGCTTGATTGAGCAAACCAAAAGTACAATTTCAGAGACATGGCAACACATACTGGAATACATTCTAACGCTGGAGAAGTCTCCCAGTAGTACTAATATCTCCCCCAAAATGTAAATTTCACACCCCAATTTTCTACCAAGAATGATTTAAAGCATTTTGATAGAAAGGAGAATTTGACTTAAAAATCACTGATGGTGGTTGGGCGCGGTGGCTCACATCTGTAATCCTAGCACTCTGGGAGTCTGAGGTGGGCGGATTGCTGGAGGTCAGGAGTTTGAAACCAGCCTGAGCAAGAGTGAGACCCCCATCTCTACTAAAAATAGGAAGAAATTAATTGGCCAACTTATATATATAAAAAATTAGCCGGGCATAGTGGTGCATGCCTGTAGTCCCAGCTACTCGGGAGGCTGAGGCAGCAGGATCGCTTGAGCCCAGGAGTTCGAGATTGCTGTGAGCTAGGCTGATGCCACGGCACTCACTCTAGCCTGGACAACAAAGCAAGACTCTGTCTCAAAAAAAAAAAAGAAAAAAAAATCATTGATGGTGAAAATGATTTTCAAGGTGAGAAAATATAGAATTGAATTATTATACAGGTCAGAATTAAATTGTCTTTCCCCTTCCAATAATGAAAACAAGGTTGAGTGAATTTTTGAGACTTGAATCCCATAATCTCTTCAAGTAAAAATGTGAAAATGAATTAAAAATGCATCAATTAAAACAAGCCCACTAACATCAATATTATTTTGGTCTTCATAACGATTTAGTTCATAGTCTTTAAAAAGTGTAGCATGTAGCGCTCAGATTAAATTTCCAAGTATGTTCAGCAACTGAATTTTTTCCT